CATAAAGTAGGAGTTGTGCAGGGGGAAGTTACTATGGCTCCCAGGACATTCTGTTACTGACACAGAGTAGGGAAGGTGTGCCCCATAGCCAGACACAAATCATTGAGACCTTCTGCTGAGGTTTCCTAAAGTCTCAGCAGGTGATGTCATCAGTCTGCATCTGCTTATGGGGCAGTCAGATACTTCTGCAATTCCCCATGCTTTTCAGTCAGATACAGTCAGATACTTCTGCAATTCCCCATGCTTTTCACCAGCCATATAATGGCTGTCCAGAAGATCTACTGCAGCAAAAGCTAGATTCCTAGAGGAGCTTTGACCATCATGACCCTCCCCAGATGTGATCCCACCAACTCCCCCAGATACTCACGCTGAATACGTGCGAGTCCTCCGAGTGGGAAGCGGGCTAGGAATGAGATATCCTCTCATGGGGGAAGGGGAGCGTTCCCGTGTCCGACGACCTTCTGGCAATCGAAGGGCACCCGGAGGGGGGGATCGCTCATGAGCAGAAGCTGACTCTGAAGACATTTCTGCGACCAAAGAAGCCCTAACAAGAGGAAATATTGTACTCTTTAATATAACAACAACAACAACAATTTATTTATTTATATCCCGCCCCTCTGAGCACAAGAGAAAATGCATCTGTTTCATGAAATGCTTTCTTCTTTAGAATTCTCTAGAGTAAGACTATGAGTTGGTCTCAAGTTTACCTTCCACAGGAGAGGGTAGAAAATGCCCTCCTTGCTGGGGTTTGGTTCCAGGATCCCCTGTGGATACCAAAATCCATGGATGACCAAGTCCCATTATATACAGTGGTATAGAAAGAATGGTGTCAGTTATATAAAAAGGCAAAGCCAAGGGTTGCTTTCTAGGAGTTTGTTGTTGTTGCTGTTTTGCTTTGCTTTGTCTTTGTGTTGTTTTTTGTTAAAGTAAGCTGTGAATAGTTGAGTTTGTGGAGGCAGAATCCATGGATATGGAGAGCTGACCGTAACAAACAAACAATTGGAAGCCTCACATTCAAATCAATACAGAATCCCCTGAGTTGATTTCCATAATGGGTTTGTCACTGCCTTTCTACCAAGGTTGACAGAAACTGGAGCAGGTGTATGAAAGTCTGAAACCTATGGTAATTTATATCCCAGGAGCATCTGAAAAAGATAACCATTTCCCAGGGCTGTGGAGTCAGAAGGAATTTTAGGTGGAGTTGGAGTCAGAGTCAGTATATTATGTTCGCTAGTTCACTGCATATTTACTTAGTGTCATGAGAATTTAGGAAAGTTCTTGCTCAGAAAGCAGAATCAAATAAATAAAGTTTATGTTCTAAGTAGTTTGATGATTCATGTGATGGTGAGGAAATGCCTCATGCTACTATTTTACTACAGGAAATTTGTTCTTACTAATTAGTATACACTTGCCATTAATGAAGGGGTTAGTCAGGCAATAAGAAAACAGAGGAGTTGGAGCTGAAGGCTGATGTACCGACTTCAGGGCCCTGATAAAGACAGCAAACACTATATAAAATTGTAGCTTTAAAAAAATACAACTACAACTGACTACAGATAATTTCAGGCCACGTTTCCTTTTTATGATGTGTGAGGAGAATGTGACCTTACTGACATCAGTTCTACTGCAACTTCCATCAATCCTAGCCGACATACCTAATGGTGAGCGAGAATGGGTGCTGCAGTACAACAACACTAGGGACCTTATCACACACTGGCC